GCTAGACACGCTTAATCCCGGGAATGGGCTCCAGGGCCGCTCCGGAACCGCCACCGTGCCCTAGCCTGGCTGGCGACCCAAGGGACGCCAAGTGGCTCGGTCGACCACTTGGCAAACCTGTACGGTGAGAAACGTGTACGATACGGTGCATGTACGGGTGAGGCAGGGTCGTGACCAGGGGACCGTTCCGGGGGATGAGGGCGCGGGGGCCCCATTTCCCCCACCCGTACACAAGCATTCCTCTCCCCCCAACCCCCCCAACCCCAAACCCCTAAACTCCCCCACCCGCACAGGTACATATCGAGGACGCCGGCTCAAACGAAAACTGATAAGCCAAAAAACCCCAACACACAAACATAGGAGAGAGACACACACACGGACATACATATATACATGCGCACACACACATACGCTACTCACTATATTGCAACAGAAGGGCCGGTGGTACCGCCGCCATCACGGGGGTCGACGGCAGCGGCCGCAAGGCGCCCGACACCGCCACCCCCGCCGCCGCCGCCGCCGTCACCAGCGACGGCCTGCTCATGCCCCCCGCGGGGGCGGGGGAGCCCAGCCCCTCCAGCAGCGCGAGGTGTTTGGAGGGCGACATACCCAGCAGGCAGCCGGGGGCCGCCGAGGAGGTAGAACACAGCAGACCCGATGCCGTACAGTCCTGGGGGGCCATGCGAGTTTTAGGGGGTTAGTGCGGGGTGTACGAATTACGTATGCATGTTGATGATGATGTTGATGAGTGTATTTGGTTTAAGTAATATATATTTAAATTAAGTAAAAAAATCGGGATTTGGAGCTTGGAAAAAAACAATGGATCGATGCCGAGTCGTACATTTTGATTACTTTTGTTCAAAAAGATGACGGACTGCTCTTTAAGTTTAGGAAACATCGTATGTGAAGTTATGGAAAATAGCAGTGAGGGGCCATGGACGGTCGATGGAAGGTCTCACGGCCGTGAGTCAACGCGGTTTAGCAGCGTGTGTACGACTGGTCAAACACAGCAAACTACGGGCAAGCCAAATAATCCGACATCCCAAGCGGCAAGATACCCCTGCAGGAGCCATTCCAAAGGTGGCCGTTTTAAAGGGCGCGATTGCGGGGGAGGTTGGTGCCCCTTTTAGGGGAAAACGTAAAGGCGGAACCCCCAGGAAGGGCCGTACTTCTAGGTTCGTGTGTACTGCAGGGCTGCTGGGTTCTCTCGGGGTACGAGATTCAGGAATCCCCGTGCTGCGGGACGCGGTGAGTAAGGAAGGGTCTTGGGAGCCCAGCCGTATTGGTGCAGCGGTAAAGAAAGGGGGGGGGGAGCCGAGCTAGCTACCCTCTTTCTCCCCCCTGTGGGGTTTCTTTTGGGAGGCCTGGTCGCCGGTCGTGTGTCATGGCAGGATCTCTTCCCCCGTTCGCGCACTTTCCGAGTTGGCCCCGACGCTATGTAAGGGGGGGGAACATGGATATGTGGAATGCAATGTTTTCCCCTCTGCGGTTGATATCTCGCCTGGATATCTAGCCCAGGGAGGGAGGGAGAGGCGGGGGTGGGTAGTGGTAGTGGCCTCGGGAGGCTGGTTGGGCGTCTTGTGGTGTTTTGTGTGAGCTCTCTTTCCGCGCTCTTTCTGTTTTGAGGCGTTTTGGTGAGCTTGTTGACCTCCCCAGCCCGGGATGACTCGTCGGGCTCCCGGTCGCCCAGGTCCTGGTTGCGAGCTCTTTTTCCTGTACTTCGTGTCCCCGTAGGAAGAACACTCCCCAGTCGCGACGACTTCGCGTTAGTTAGGTGACCAGCGGACCTAGAGCCCGTTTAGCTGGTGCGCTAACCCCCGGTGGGAACGCTGCTTAGTGCCGGCTGTCGTACCCCTCGTACGCGGTCTGACCGGGGGACGGAACTAACACGACACTAACCAGCCGTGTGCGTCTGCCCCTCCCCCCCGTACAGGTGTCTCGGTCGCGTCCCCTCGAGGCACTTTGCCTGTCGGAGCCAAAGGGCCCCTTCGCGGCGGCTCATTCGTACGGCAAACACGTACACACAAATGCGCATACCCTACCTTCCCCCCCCACAACCCTCCCCTCCCCTCCCCCCCTTGGCCCCCACATGAGGCGGCTGACATCTGCACAGCGCCGCCGCCACTAGGTGGTTGTCGAGACCGAGAGCACCCGAGCGACGGAGGGCCTGCAGGTGGGGGGGTTGGGATTGGGATGGGGGTTGGGGGTGGGGGGTGGGGGGTGGGGCTGGGGCGGGGTGGGGTGGGGCGGGGTGGGGTGGGGCGGGATGTGGTGGGGCGGGGTGTTGGTGGGGCGGAATGTGATTACTTTTAGCAATGGTGGAGTAGCCTAAGGGCATGTAACCTGCACTCGCCGGTGGGATGTAAACTTCCAACTCCCAACTCCCAACAGTTTGCTGCATTTCAACCACCACTCCTCACTCCTCATCCGCGCACCACCTTTCCCCCCTTCCCGGCAGCCACTCCCCGCCCCGCATGTTGCCTATTGGAGCCATTTCGCCCTTACCGTTATGAACGTTATGACCGTTATGACCTCATGTGGGCCAGAGGCCACTTTGCCATCATCACGAAGCACGCCTACAGCCTCTTATGGCATTCAGGAGACGCGGGCTACGTAGCAGAAGCTTTCTCAGCCCCCAAGGGATACCTTTACCCCCCCCTTCCCTCCCCCTCCCTCCCCACCAAATCTCTAAGCCCTATGACGCACCTGCGCCAGTTCGCTCCTCGTCAGCACCTCCCTGGAGGCCATGGTCATCTCGACGGTCAGTCGGCGCAGAGAGGG